TTAATATATATATATATATATATATATATACCTATATATATTAAGCGCAATTCAAAAGTTTGTCTCGCTTTTTTTTCTAATAAAATTTAAAATTTTTGAACAAAATTTGCTTATGTGCCTTAAAATTAACACTTGCATACACACACACAAACACACACACGCCCATATACAAATACATACAAATACATACATACATACAATTATAATTCTATATATATATATATATATATTTATACATATATATATTATATATATACATATATATATATATATATATATATATGAGATTACAATAATAAAGAATGACAACAACATAGGAAAACAAATGAAAATAATAATAAAACTTGCCTATGTATAAGATTTGTGAGTGGTTCTATTAATTTCTTTCCTAGCCGGGGTTCTAAAGGAGTTAAAGCGCCAAACTGCAAATGCAAAAAAGAGAAGAAGAGGAGAAAAAGAATAGAAAAACAAGCACATATTTAAATAATACAAATAATATGAATGTAACACATTATTCAATTTGTTTGTTTGTTACTTTTTTCTTTTGTTTTTTTTTTTTTTTTTTCCTTTTTCTTGATGAATTTTCTTTTATAATTCCTTGAACTCGAAGATTTCAATATTCTAATAACAATAAGCGATCTTAAAATTTAAATTGACTTCAATCGTGACTGAAACCTAAACCTAAACCAAACTAACCTCACTTCGTACACTGAAGATATCTACGCCAAAGGGCCACCTGATTTATGTGACACTATACTTAACTTGACGAGTCTTCTACACTAACGCTTTATTTAAAGGATACCAAATCAGAACGAACGTGTATCTCGTAATTAGATCAATCAATAGAAGTGCTCAAATAGAGGATCGAGTTAAGAAAATGAATAGTTTTTCGTAGCCAACATCTTTTCATGACTATCTTTGTTGACCTCTGCTCTAAAGATTACGATTGCACATCCTGTCCTTATGTTCAAACAACACAGCAAAATCACTTAATTACATGAAAATTACATTACATGGAATTGAAATGGAATGACATGACATCTTGCCTCACTTTCTATCATTAATAGTTAAAATAATGCATCGAATAGTTTTTGCCATCAAATTAGTCAGAGGTTTTTTTTATTTTATTTTTTTTTTCTTCTTCGATACGCATGAGTAAATCAATGAATAGTTTGTTTGGCTTCAAATTAGTCACATAATGTTTTTTTTTTTTTTTTTTTTTTTTTTTTTTTTTTTTTGAA